AGAGAGAGAGAGAGAGAGAGAGAGAGAGAGAGAGAGAGAGAGAGAGAGAGAGAGAGAGAGAGAGAGAGAGGCACACGGCATACATGCAACTTTGACGACATACCTACAACATTGACTGATTACATACATACTTGGAAAGCACAGCAAACAGCCTCGGAATGGGAGTTCTCAGGAAACAGATCAGCAGGACGTAATTTCCTTAGAAAAGTGCAGAGTTCTCAAACTGCAATAGTGCGAGTCATTTCACTCAGAACGGACAAAGAACCTTCCTCCCATGGAAAACAGCAAATAACAGGCGAACTAACTACCGCAATAAAAGAAAATAAAACCCCTTCGTTGGTATTCCCTCCTGTTTTCTTGTAAGCGAAGCTGCAACGGATTACCTGGTACGGTAAGAAGACAGGAAAGGGCAAAAATGAGAGCTGCTGTGAACAGTGGGGTGATGATGATTTTATGGCGATGGTGGTCCAATGAAACTGGAACTGAAATACAAATGGCTGTAATTGTGCAGATGCGGTCGGTCTGCTGACGATTTTTCGGGAATAAGTCTGCGGATAAATTTTGTCGATATAAAATTTGCCGACCGTGTGTCGAGGTGGTTTTGGGGAGACGGTTGAGGCGCGGTGATTGGTTGGTAGAATACCCCTCTTTGGCGTCTGAGAGATGGCTGATGGAAAACCCTAAACCCTTCTTTAGACCCCTCTTTGTTGTCTGAAGCTGGTCGATAGAAAAATATCCCTCTTTAGATCCCCCCTCTTTGTTGCCTGAAGCTGGCTGTCTGACCGGGAGAGCGGTAAAGAGGACGAGTGTGGAGAGGCAGAATCGTCGCAGGAGGAGGGAGGCAGAGCGAGCGATATACTGACAAAAGTGCAGCAGCCGAGTCATCATCACAGGGGGAGGAGGAGAAAAACAGCAGAAGAAATATAAATCTGTCACCATGTCTGGAGGAGCTGAAGCCCTTGCTCGACACAAGCAGTATGAGTATCGTGCGGTAAGTCTTGTCATCTTCCCCTTTCTATTCCCTTAGGGTTTTGACTCAATTCCTGGCGGGTTTGACGTTTTTGTTGTTTTTTTTTTGACCGTATTCCTTGGGTATTAAACGACTCCATCCGCAGTTTTGACTTTGTTCGGGGTTTTAACTCTATACCGGGGTTCGTCTTTTTTTTTTTTTGTTGACTGTATATTGGTGGGTTTTGATTTCCGTCCTGGATTCGGATCATACGCCCACGTTTTTTATTCCTGGTTTTGTTTTTCTTTTTCCCGAAAGAAAAAAGGGCGAGAAATGCTTGAGATGTCATCGTTGAAGTAGTCTGGTTGCATCTGGATTCGAGGTCGGACCTGTATTTGAACACAGTTCATGGGTGTACCAACTGAGCTAGGCCCGTTGTGTTTTCCTGGGTTTTGACTCGAATCGTGGGATGTGAGTTTTTTTTGGGACTTTATTGCCGGGTTTTCGTTCTAACCCTACGTTTCCATTCTATATCTGGATTTGGATTCTACTGCTCCCACGTTTTCGTTTCTACTTCCCGGGTTTTGGTTCTAGCCCTCGGTTTTGATTCTTTTTATTTTTTTAATTTTCTTTATATATATATATATATCGTGTGGTCCGGAATGTTGAACAAGATATTAGAAAAAAAAGCTACAAAATTATAGCATTGATTTTGGAGTATGTATTTTCTGTGGAAATTGTGTTGAATATTGTCCAACTAATTGTTTATCTATGACTGAAGAGTATGAGCTTTCTGTATATGATCGTCGACATGAACTCAATGGACCACGGATCAGATATTAAACTGATCAGAACAGATACTACACTTGATCTTAGCCAAAAGCCCTCGGTTTTGATTCTATACATACCCGGGTGCCGATTTTATTCTTCTGCGTTTCAGTTCTATTCCAGGGCTTTGAACTTTTATTAGTCTTCGGGTAGTTGGATGCTGATCCTATTCCTTCCTGGATTTCGATTTTATACTTGGGTTCGATGGTCATACCTCCCTCCCTCCTTCCCTCCCCGTCTTCAGGAGCCTCCCTCCTCGTGTGTCACTTGGTATTGGTATGCTTCCAACTGTGCAGTCCATGTGCGCGCTGTCCTGCCTTGACTACCTTTGCCCATCGCACGGACGGGTGTTGTTAACTGGGTACCTCTATTCCTGCATTTCCTACCCCAGGGATGTGCATGCTCTTCCTTTTTGTTGATTGTATATTTGCACGGCTGGTTGTCATACGCCCCCAACCTTGAAGAGCTTTTTTGCTGTCTTCACATGGTGTTTGGTGAGCAGTTCGCGTGTGCTTTGTCTTGACTAGTGTCCATCGCATGTCCATGCAGAATTCCAGCCTCGTGTTAACCACAGACACTCGACCTCGAGACACTCATGAGCCCACCGGTGAGCCAGAGACGCTATGGGGAAAGGTAAGGCCAATCTCTCATGCTTGTCGTCCTCCTCCTCTTCGTTGTCTGCCATCTCTTCCTGCGGAAGATGTTGATTGCCTGTTTTGCCTATCCTCTTATGTGTCTATAATAATGCCTTTTGTGGTATGATGTCTCGAATTGAAAATCTGATTGCTGTAGTGATTGCCCAGGTGCATGCCAACTTTTTTTTTTGTGTGGTGCTCGTTTTTTGTTGCTTGCTGTGGTTTATCATCGCTCATATGTCGCCTGCCTGTTTGTTTTGTCTTCCTTCTTTGGCCACGAATGGCCTTTTGTAGTGTCATGTTTTTGAATTGGAATTATTGAATTTGATTGCTGTCTTCATTGCCCAGCTGCATGACAACCTTGTTGTTGTTCGTTTCGGTTATGGAAAACAGCCATCTCTGTGCAAAATTTGTCACAACAGTTGTGGCCCATCTTTTAGTGATAAAATTCTTTTCATAACCAGGTTTTGACATCTATATAGAGATTATTAAGTGGACATGCAGTTAAAGAAAGCAATGGCTCGGAGATAGTTGAGTGAAGAGTCCGTCTGGGCTTTCCGTTATGTCTTTCGTTCTCTCTCCTGGGCGTTTCTTCCCCCCATGTTGACGTCAGCCGTTTACCTGCCCTTCCATTTCTCCCGTTCGTCTTTCTTTCTCTCTCTCTCTCTCTCTCTCCGCTTCTGTCCTTAAGTTGCTATCTGGTCTTTTACCTGCCCTTTTCTCCCTTTCCACCCTCTCTCTCCCCACTTCTGTCCTTAAGTTGCTATCTGTCCTTATGGTGGTCCTTACTTCTCGCCATGCACTGATGGGTGATCAAAATTAGCATGCACATACTATGATTGGTATGTATAGGATGCTTGGCTTTTTTTTTTTTTTTTTTTTTTTTTTTTTACGCATTTGGCATGCAGGATAAGTGGCATGGACAGCTGCTAATAAATGCTGATCAGCGAATGATTGATAGCTGCCGCTTTGGGCCTTTGGCTGTGTTCTCTGGCCAGGCTTGACTGAGTGCCTGCTTAATTGATTAGCTGGATTGCTTGCTGCTTGATCGCCTGCTTGATCGCCGGCTTGCTTGCCTTCGTGATTGATTGGCTGCTTGATTGCCTCCTCGATTGATTGGCCGGATTGTCTGCTTGGTTGATTGGCTGGATTTTTTGCTGACAAACATGATTACTGACACGGCACCTGCTTGGACGAAGATGAGGATATGATTAGTTGAGTAATTGATTGATCGAGTGGTTATGTCCACTGACTGCATCGACAGATGGGTGGGCGTGATTGATTGCCTGGATTGGTTGTTGATAAATGATGAAGAGGAAATAATTCCGAGGATCTGAGCCCTCGGCAATGCTGCTAAGGCCCCCTGTGCCCGCCCTAAGTGAAGGTGGGCCTGCATTTTCATTTTGGCCTATTTTTGTTAAGTCTGAGAACGGGCCGCGGAGGATGGTTGCTGAAAGAGAATGCTCCAGACAGGCCAGGTGGGCCTGCGTTTTCATTTTGGCCTATTTTTGTCAAGTCTGAGAACAACCCCCGGAGGATGGTTGCTGAAAGAGAATGCTCCAGAGACGGGCGACACGGGTTGGTTGCTTCATTGTGGCGTCTTCCACTACCCAGTACGGCCCTACAGTTGAAGATGCTGCCCAGCCCCAGATTCTGAGGCCCAGGACCCTTGCATTTGAGCCCCAGGCACATTGTGGAAGGGCCCTGGGGCACAGCTTCTGGAACAGCACCCATCCAGTCCAGCCAGACCTCTTGCCATCCAGCCACTTTCCATAACGGAAAGAGATGAGCCAGAGCTGGGATCCATTCTGGCTGACACTCATGAGGCAGCTCTGCTGGACCGCAAGCCTGAGACAGGAGCTGGCTGGGAGGTGCGTGCGCACGGGTGCAGCTAGTGTGGCAGCCAAAGCTACGCTGCTGGTACAGGAAGCCGGTGGGTACGGTGGTGGTCCTTGGGTGGAGTAGAAGGGCCTGTGGGACGAGACAAGGGATAAGGGGCGGTGTGTGATATTGGCTGCGTGAGTCTCACGCGGCCACTTCATGCGTTATCAGATCTGCACTTTCATGAAGTTCTGTTGTCGTCATTAGAAGCTATGCTAGTCTAGGACAGTCGCTGATTGTAGTTTGGGCTCCGGGTGCCATATAGGAGAGCGACATTGAAATATTAATGGTGGAGGCGAGAAGCAGGCTTACATTGTGAATTATCTTTGTTGCTTTGCTCTTATCTGGTGTATATCTTGGGGCATTGTGCTTTCTGTTCGAGCATACGACTTTCTGGCTCTCAATGGGATGATGCAATTTGGTTTCTGTCATTTGCACTGCTCTTTTTCCTTACACAATACATTGTCGGGTATTTTTGACTAAACCACACCAACTCGGGCTGGTTGGGCTGCCCCGGTCTTCTTGTTATTTTTGCCTGCAGATAGACCCGAAATCATTTGGGGATCGTGTTCAGTACGGGAAGCCACCAGAATTGCAGGAGAAAATTGAGAAGGTAAGCCAATTCACTGCGGATTTCCAGTAAGATTACAAATTTATAAAATAATAACAAAGACTGGAAAGAAGTTTTTCTCTCTATGTGGCCGTTTCTCTCTCTCTCTCTCTCTCTCTCTCTTCCCTTCTCTCTCTCGTTATCTGTCCCACTTTCTCTCTCTCTCTCTCTCTCTCTCTCTTTCTCATTCTCTCTTTCTCTCGGTTTCTTTTGTGAATCTGGTTCCGTTTTAAAATGGAAAAATAACGAAGTCACTGGCCACTCGTCTCCGTCCCTCCATCCGTGCTGCTGGTCGTCTGCATCCCTTCGGTGAAGCAAAGGGATGAGAAATTGCCATCTGTACTCGGAATGAAATGGAGCTGGTGGTGCATGCCTTAGAATAATATTCGAGTGAGTACTCACTGAGCCAAGGATGTAATGTATTGCTCGAGTACTATCCGTAGGCACTGGAGACATCCTTTCTGGATGAGGATGGTGATTGCATGTGTTGACATTCGGTAACCCATCCGGTAACCCAGATATGATGTATCATGTGAGGGGAAGTGCAAGAATCGGAGCGGAAGATTCACATTCTATTGACAGTGCTTTTCACACACTTCTGCTCAAGTCGCACAAGTCACAAATAGAGAGACGCAGGCGCAATGGTCCAGGGGTAGGGAGAAATCAATCAACGAATTCACATCCTGAAAGTGCGCAATGAGTAGGAGCACATGCATAAAAAGAATCCCTTTCCGGCATTGTCACCCTCTAATGAACAAGAAGAAAAAGAAGAAGAAGAAGATGGACAGAGGAGGGCAAAACGAAGGTCAAAGTCATAATGTCCGTCAAACTCTGTTCCGAAACAGGCTGTCCTCAATTGACAACTTCCCTCTATCAATGTCTGCCTCCAGAATACAATGCTTGCTACAATGTCCGCCAAAACAATCCCTTCAACCTCAGCTCCAGAAAAAAATGTTGCAACTTAAATCTCTCCCACAACAACCTTCTCGGGGGAAGGGGGGGGGGGCGCGCTCAGGGTAACCCCTGTTTTTTCATTCGTATGGGGGCATCTGCTCTCTCCATCTCTGGTTTGTCGTTTTTTTTTTTTCTTTTTTCACGTCTATCAGAGTTTAGTCCCAGTCCCAGTCCCAAGGTTCTAAGGTCCGTGTACCGTTGTTTCCAGTCTGGTAGGTTATGCAGGCCTAGAAGGCTCTCGTACGTTAGTTTGGTAGAGTTTGGTAGGATAGGAGGCTGAGTCCAGTCCAATCCAGCTCAGTCCAGTATTGCAGCAAGACGATGATATTGGGGATGGCCTGACAGAGTTTATGTCCGAGCAGTCATCCTCTGACGAAGTAGCTGCATGGATGTACAAGAGGGAGCTATACGCGTTGTACGAGGCACTACAGTCATGGCGACATTATCGCAAAAGTGGACATTTCGAAGCGTATTGGGACGAGACAACCCTCTGATGGTTGAAGGCGCTGTCCAGACTATCAACCAAGTTAGCCAGATGGTCACAGGAAATTGACAAATTTCAACTTTGGACTAAAACCAGTCAAGGGGAAACACAATCTTGTAGCAGATGCCTTGTCTTGTAGAGATGATTTGTTCGGTGTCGTAGTTCCATACTTATATGTTGATTTAGCTCTGCGGCAGAAAATTGGAGATGCATGGGAGCAGTCAAGTCATGGTTGTTGTGGACCGGTTTGGCAAGCATGCAGGATTCACCCTGTTACTGGCTGTTGTGATGTCCGAATTTGCCCTCTCTGAGTTTTTAAGCATGTGGGGTGAAGGATAACGGACATCCTTTGACGAACAATTAGTGATAGAGATGTTAGATTTGCAGGTGGGCAGTGACAACAGGTGATAAAGGTATATGGTTCGCAGGTACCTATGTCATCAGGTAGACATCTGAAACAAATGCGTGTAAAGTCTACGAGGATCCCACACAGCTCGTTCTCATGAACAATGTACTGCGACAGACCCTGTGCATGTGAGAGAAGTTTAACGAAGGCCTTTTTCGTGAAACTTGTCACCCATACATACCCCTCCATGCGTCGAGTACCTTGTGCGTTGGAAGGGTTATCCTGAGAGTGCACACCATACTAACTATCAGCAAAAAAAAAAACAAGAAGGAGAAAAAAACAGCGTAAAATTTCAAGGCAAAGGTGCACTTTCATGCAAAATCCGTCAAAATTTGCCTGAATTTCAGAAAATTTCAGAAATTTCAGAAATGTCAACAGAGGAATTTTGAACAGTCCAAAAGACACCAAACTTGGCACACAGCAACCTTTACCTAAAACAAAAACAGGCAAACCTTAATTTAAGTTTTGGGCGTGTTGGGCAGGACCTGAAAATAGGGGGCCCCGTTAACCACTAATGGTGCAAATTGACTGTGATGATTTATTGTGCAAGGTAGTCAGCCCTTGTAACAATTCAGTGCTTCTCTTGACCAGTTGGACCCCGATTGAATTGCACAAAGGGTGGAAGTACAGAGACTGCGGCCTGGAACCCTAAAATTTGTGCTGGTGTGCGAGAAAGACCTGAAGAAAGCCACTGAGAACATCATGTGCGACCAACTGATGAGTGAGTGAGACTGTTGTGAGGCAGAGCGAGTGCCTATAGTCAGCAGGTGCTGCACACCATGGCTGAGCTTAGGGCAACGAGTGAGAAGACATTCCGAGAGGGAGTGAAGCCTAAGGGGGGGAGAGGGAGGGAGGGGGGAGAGAGAGAGAGAGAGAGAGAGAGAGAGAGAGAGAGAGAGAGAGAGAGAGAGAGAGAGAGAGAGAGAGAGAGAGAGANNNGAGAGAGAGAGAGAGAGAGAGAGAGAGAGAGAGAGAGAGAGAGAGAGAGAGAGAGAGAGAGAAATGCCCAGCTTTAATATACGAACTTGTTGTAACATTTTGAACAATTTTCAAGTTCTCATTTATATCATGTCTTGATTTCCAACTCTCTTCTGATGAAGTGTCCTCTCGGTGTGGTGTGAGATGTGTCTTGAAGCTCACAAATTGTTGTTATGTTCTTGTACTTGTGTAATGAAGTTCTGTCTTTGGCACTTTCTTCTTTGGTGGTGTGAATGATGTGTTTGTTCTGTGAACAGGCAAAGAGGAAAAGGGAGTTCAAGGAACGAGAGAAAAGGTTGATAGATGTGAACGTGCGCAAGAGTAAGAAAGCAAGAACATCCTCAGAGGATACAGTGCTGACAATTGTTGATGATGGCCTCTACAGGCCTAAAACGAAAGAAACTCGTGCAGCATATGAAGCACTGCTAAACATAATTCAACAGCATCTTGGAGATCAACCACAGGTACAAAGATATCTTGTTGCTTCGGCAAGGACTTGCTTTGTGATACTAATGTGAGCCCTTGCATACTCAACCTCAACAGAATATCATTTCTTCTTATATGTTGTCTTTTAGTTGTCATTGTTAATTTTGAAACGGTTTTCACCTTTGAGCAGTAGCGAATGCAGATCCCAGGGCTCGATCCCTAGTTCTCACCTTACCTGTGTACAGTATCTGTGTCGACCCCGAGTGTTTGAACTCGTGACCTGTGTTTTGACAGTTGTGGTTGTCTGTCGTAGGTCTGTGTAGTGGTAGGGGTTTGATCTGTAGGTCTGTCGAGGAGGAGTCACAGCCCTGTAGAGGTCGCAGCTGTAGGGATCCTGAAGGGTCAAGGTTGTAGCTGCTACAGTCCTGAGAGGTCAAGGTCGTAGCTGCTACAGTACCCGAAAGGCCAAGTCTACAGACTTCCGGAAGGTCCCGGAAGTGGCCTTTCGAAGTGGGCTCACGTTTAGGCAGAGGCAAGTGGGCAAGTGGGGGAGCCAACCTCAGTACGTTGGCAGTGCGACTGCAGTGAGTCTGCGGTGCAAACCCATGCAGTCAGCGGTACCGGTCCAGTCAGTCCCTGTTGCATACTGTAACGTGCAGACCAGAACAAGAACCGACCTTTCAATACAAAGTACAAGATAACACAGCGGAAGACTTAGATACCAGTGATCCGAACAATCAATGTTGTAATGCAGCCC